AGTTTGCCTGGCTGAACGACAGCTGTCTTGCGTACACCCCTTGTGATGACATCATTCAAGGCACATGCAGATGCATCAATGGAATACCGTCTGATGGACAGTTTTGCCAACCACAGCCACGTAAGTATGCTTTGTGTCTTCTCCTAATTTTGTTCTCTCCAGGTATTTGGTATAGTCCACCTGTGGCTATAATTTTTTGCCATTCCATATATAAATCAACTTGCAATGTTTGGATTGTTTCATGATCACAACATTATCTATCTTATAAAAATTACATGATTACATGATTTGTAATTAAAATGCATACTAGACTTTCCTTGATCAAATATGAAGCATTACCCCAAATGTACCCTAATCAGAATTTCAGATTGTAAGTTGCATACTTTTGTCCTTTGTCCTGTTGTCTCATCGATCTTCTCTAGGTTCTGTGACAAACAGCACCCCTCCAACAGCTAATACAACACCTGGTATGTATCGGTTTTCAGTATATTCTGTCAGTAGCTCCCAGATTAGTCAGAATAATTACATTTAATAATTGTAAAATACTGTCCATCTACAATTCAAGAACATTTTCAGATAAGCAGAAATTTCGTTTTGTTTGCAACAATGGGATGGCCTGATATGTATCCTTGCGTTTGTGTCACTTTCAGATTTCATAACAACACTTTACTCTTCCCGTCTTTTAAATGTTCTCTCTCCTTTCTCACTTTGAGAAAGCCTTTGAATCTGCTTAATTCGTCTGTCTTATGCATGTTCTGATATCATTTTTATTCCTTCCTTCTCTAGTTTCTCCCACAACCCAAAGTCCCAATCCCAGCATGTCACATTAGCCATCATTTTCTTCCCTAGTTGTTTCATTCACAAGCCTTAGTCATTAAATTTAAAGCACTGGGTTTGCACAATTCAAGAACATCCATAACTGAACCAACATTTAGTTTTGTCTCTGAGTATTTCTGTTGTCGGAAATATCCCCTTGGCTTTGTGTCACTTTCAGAAATCCTCAGTATCAACTTATTTTTAATGTCTTCTGTATGTTCGGCCTAAAATATACCCCTTAATGTCTAAGAATGTTCTTGTCCTAACCAAACTTTTTATCGTCCCTCCACGAACATTTAAACTACCTAGAAGTTCCTCTTACCTAATCATCCTGGTTTACTTTCTCTTTTTCATAGGTTCTGTAACAAGCACCACCATTTCAACACCTAATACAACAGCTGGTATGTATCGCTCTTCATCAGATCCTGTAATTTGTTCCCTGATCATCTGAATCGGTACATTTACTAAGCAGCATAAATTACTGTGAGGGTGTTATGGACACAGGCCATGGTGCAGGCGGGGAACAGAAGGTGACGATCCACTTGCGGTCCCAAGACAAACAAGGGTTTATTGAAGAAACTGGACACACAGTGTAAAAAACAAGAGGACCATGGGGGGTGAAATAACAAAAAGGCAATAATACTGAATTAACTAAAACCATAAAACAAAGCACAACTAAGAAGCCAAGCAAAAACACAGAGAATAGGAAGAGGCAGTGGAAGAGAGGAACAAATGCTCAGTAATATTCATAGTGGCAGACTCAGAAACAAGACAAAGGCAGGCACTAAAATACACAAGTAACAAGACTAACAAAAGGCAGGTGTCACAAGTGGACGTGAGCACGGACCAGGGAAGCAGGAAGGTAGGAGCAAGGAGACAAGGAATTGGGGAAACTATTGGCCAGGTCTTAAGGGTGATCTATTAACCAGACTCTTTCCATTCTCTCCAGACGTACCTAGAAATTCCTCACTACTAATCACCCAGTTGTCCGTTCTTTTCTTAGGTTCTTTAACAAACACCACAACTTCAACAGCTATTACAACAGCTGGTATGTATCAGACTTCATCTAATGCTTTAATTGATTCCCAGATCATCTTAATTTGTGTCATAAATAAACATCAGGATAGGATTGGCTAAATCTACAGGTAATCTATAAACCAGACTCTTTGTATTCCCTCATACCTAATCATTCTGGGTTACTTTCTCTTAATCAGACTCTTTCTATTCTCTCCAGAAGTACCTAGAATTTCCTCATAGCTAATCATTCTTGTTTACATTTTCTTTTTGTAGGTTTTGCAACAAACAGCACCACTGCACCAGCTCTTGCAACATCTCGTATGTATCAGTATTCATCTGATGCTGTCTTTGATTCCCAGATCATCTGAATTCATACCATTCCTAAGCACCACAAACATTAGTGAGGGTAGAAAAAGACCAATGCCAAAGGGATTAGCTAGATTTACAAGAGATCTCCAACTCAGACTTTTTTTATTCCCTCCAAAACTACCTAGAATTTCCCCACAGGTAAAAATCCTGGTTTACTTTCTCTTTATGTAGGTTTGGCAACAAGCAGCCCCACTTCAATACCTAACACAACAGCTGGTATGTGTCAGTCATCATCAGATTCTGTCATTTATTCCCAGATCATCTGAATCCGTTCTTTTACTAATCAGCATAAATTAGCATGCGGGCACAGTAAAAATAAAGCACCACTGTGATTGGCCAGGTCTATGGTTGATCTATTGACCA